CTCCCCCTCTCTCTCTCTCTCTCTCTCTGAAACTCAACTCAGTTCAGGCAAACTCATTGGGGTTGGCTATACTCTACCAAGACCAAGCTTCTCCCCCACCCGGTGTAAAACACAGACCTAGCATGACCATGACTTCTTTGCTTGTTTTCAACAAAATGCGCACAAGGTGCACATTAGCACGAGAGACTGGTCCCCAGCTGTAATACACCTTTCCGAATTGTGCACTCACAGTTTCTTTCGTATTTCCTTGTATGGTTGTGGATGCTCTCCTTCTTGGTTACCTCTTCAGGAAGGAAAGTAGCTTGGGTGCAGAAGCTGCTGACGGAATTTCTGTGTCATCGTCTTGCTATGACCAAGGTGAGATCAGTAGCCACGAAGAGAAACATTTTTATTGCTTTGTCATCAGGTAGTATTGAGCTGTTTGTTTCTGTTTTATTGCACCACCACAGTTGGGAGGTGGGGTGAAGGAGAGAAGGCAATCCCATTGAAGAAAAGAAGAGGGAGCTTTGACCGGCGGGCAACATACGAGACGACGACACTGGGGAACGAGAAGAAGATGAAGAGTAAACTGAAAACAAAGACGAACAAGAGATTGGCTCAACAAGCAAAGGAGGAGGAAGAGGATAAAGAAGAACAAAAGCGAGAACCAGAAGGGAAGGAGGGAAGCAGCACCGAGAATAGTAATAACGCGAGGAGGAGTGGGAGCGAAAGGGTGGTGATGGAGGGTTCGAGGTGCAGTCGCGTTAATGGGAGAGGATGGAGATGTTGCCAACAGACACTTGTTGGGTACTCTCTATGTGAGCACCATCTGGGTAAAGGAAGGCTCAGGAGCATGAGCAGCGTTCGGAGTCGTACTTCAGCCGTTGCTAGGCCCAAGAAAGATTCTACCGCCGCCGCCGCTGCTGCTGGAGACAGAAGTATGAGGTCGTTATCGTCGGAGAAGAAACATGATGAACAGACGTTGTTACACGAGGGCCAGGATGACGATGACGATGAAGAAAAGCCATTGATGATTACAAAGAAAAGAAAGAAGATCGGAATAGTGAAAGCTCGATCCATAAGCAGTTTACTAGGCCTAACAGAAAACACAGTCGCGACAAGAAGTGATAATAGCCATGGAAGACTATGAACGCCAATTGAGCAACAAAAGTGTAAAGAGCTATAAAAAGGATGATATTTATTGGAGCTTCTTTATTGGTGGTGATGGTGGTTACTGCACTGGTGGCGCGGTGCTTATTACAGGTATGAATTAATCACGTATAACACTGTTAATTGCACAGTTAAAGTTTGCTTTGACAAGACTCCCTGATCTCCCATGTTTCCATTATGCTGAGATCAAATTATATGAAACCTGTTATTTATTCTGGACTCTTGAGCTATACCCTTTTGGTACCAAATTCAAATCTAGAGATGAACCCAGCTTATGGACCAGCTGGATTGAGCCACGTCACCGTGGCTGAATGGGTCCATAGTCCAGGTCCGGACATCACGGCCCGGCCGGGGAAACCATTTTCGTTGTTATTGTTGGTGTTGGGTTGGCCTCAAACTCAAACTCAAACTCAGCTGGCCACGTACCCAGTTTCGAGAGCATTCGAGTTCTCCGAAGAGTTGGTCCAGTCCCAATCTTGTCAAATAATTTGGGTGGTGTGCAGCATATCCTTTAGCATTAAGACTATGAGCTGAGCGTGGCATAGTTTGTTAATCAGTCAGATGGACCCCATCCACCATGTAAGTTTGACCTACTTATCATGTGCTAAGATACTAAAAGAAAAGCTATGGAGGAATATTTTCTAACTTAAATAGTTGATTGATGTTTAAAATATTTGCAAGCAGGCGCCCTAGAAAGCGTTTAGTTGTATATTTTTGTCTTCAACCAGCTGTGTAGGAGATCCAACTAAAAAGCAGTCGGCCACGAAAGCTTGTCTCAAGTTTTCTATGGGAAAAGCCTAGCCTGGGGTTTGGACTTTGGAGCGCAATCCCTCAAACGACTATGGGCGACATGGTTGGTTTTAAACCCGTCATTGGTTCCAACTTGCAAGTTCCGTTGCAGCCCTGAACCATGCATTATTTTCTTAAAAATCATATTTGTTTTTGGGCCAATTTATTTTTAAAACGTCACAGCAGGCTGATCCATTTAGACCATAAAGTCGAGCCAATAACCAAATTGGTTTTAAAACATTGGTTTGGGCGGATTGCTTATTTGGACGACTTGCACTATATAATGATTAGATACTAAAAGGCATCCAACCATATATTGGAGAGCTACACAAAACTTTGAAATGTTTTTTCTTGAGAATATATAAATGGTGAGACGCCTTGAAACAGTGATTGATGCTTCTAAGTGTAATCAATGTCCACATTTGGAAGGAGGAAACGAATCTTTCACAAATTCAGAAAGCTGCTTGAATGAAGAATTGTATGTTTGATTAGATGGCTAAGCTAATTTTTTTATGGAAGCATTTGTGGGATCCATCCAATGGCTCTGAATGTGCAACACACGCACCCAAGAGAGTCTTTTCTTCCCGATGCACAAGTATTCCATCAATGAATTGTTTTTTCTCGGTTGCCCAACATGCCATAGCATATAAAATGCAATACTACTCTTCTATAATATATAGTTAGTATTAGAGACCTTACCAACTAAAGGAACAAATAAAAAAAAAAAAAAAAAAAAGTAGCGGTGGCTATTATTGATATAACATGTATGCCAGGCTTTTATTGAATCGTTGTTTCCTCCACAGATTCTTGGTCTTTGTTCAAGTTACTTTCATTTAGGATTAGGCTTGCAGTGCAATTTCATTTGCAGTTTTGCACTACTGGTGCAAAAGTATTATAAATGATTTCAGTCAAAAGTTTGATTTATTTTATTTTTTCTTTGTTTCAGCCATTGTTCTATTTTGTTTGTTCCCATTGTAAATAAAGTAAAATAACCTAAGGCGAAGTGAAAAGCGTAAAACCCAAAAGAAAAAGTGGACGATCTTTTTTCTTTTTTTTGTCATTTAAACTCATGCATTTATATTCATTTGCACTCCGAACAAACAGAGCCTAACTGCTGGTACCGTCTATGGTATTGGTATCTAGTATCTACTGAGAAGATAAGTAAAGAACAAAAGGCCTTGGTTAGGGGTGTAACGTGGGCGGGCCCAACCCAAGCCCAGATTGACACGGCTTGCAATTTTACACGGGTTGGGATTTTATGGCTTTGCACTGGGCCTGGGCCCAAAAATTTGTTTTTTTTTTTTATTTTTGGGCCGGACCCGAGCCTAGCCTTTAGATAACCTAGACCCGGCCCAAGCCCTACCCATAACCCACCTATGTACATACATATATGCAACCTGAGCCCAGCCACGACCCATGCCCAACCCATCAAATTTTAGTTCAGGTCAGGCTCGGGTTGGCAATTCAGGCTTGACCTCAGGCTTAAGCCTTATGCCCAATTCTTAGGTTGGGCCTAGAAAAGGCAATGGGGCGAGTTCAGGGCGGGGCACCCACTCCCTATCAGGGATGGAGGAATCTCCAAATTTTCCCCATCCTGAGGCAACCACCTAAAATACATTTAATTTCAACATATTTTAAAAATAGGATTATGGGAATTTGAGAGTATTTTAGGAATTGAATTACAGAAATTTGAAGGTATTTTAGAAATGGAATTATGGGATATTAGGAATTTAAGAATTTGAGAAAAACTTAAAGATATTTTAAAAATTAATTTTAAACTTATCATCGGATTTGAGACAAATTCGGAGAATTATATACAAAACCCCCGGACTTGCAACCCTAGCCTTGTTTCTTTGAATAGTGAATAATGCGCTAATATATCCAACCCACATGTTTTTTTAGGAGTTGGGCTTCAATCAGGGCAAACCCTTTACTGTCTTGCATTGAAAATATCTCCATACTTGTATGCTTGATTTCATGGAGAGATATTCCAATGCAAAGGTTGGAAAAGACTGTTATTGATTTACCCCGACTGAAGCCGGTCTCTTTTTTTTAGGTGTAGACCGAACAATTTCAACTGGTTTTTAAGTAGGCCCAATATGGGCTTGTCGTTCTAAAGAAAAGATATTATATGCCAAGGACGGACATCCTTTTAAGTTCACCCGCTAGACAAAATAAGTACCTAATTTCTTCTCCGCAGATTAGCAATTCACGGCGGGTAGAGTGTGTGTGCCGTGCCAGTGGCAGTGGCAGTGGCAGTGTGGGTAGAGAGAGTAACATGATAGGAGCTGACTTGAGCTATCATTGCCATTAATTTCGACTAGCTCCTTGTCGTGGATGATGATGTCTGGTTACTTTTAAGGATTACTTAGAAATTGAAAGCTACATGCAACTCCATGGATCGTTTTCCTGTCTGGACGTACGATTGGACTAAACAGGACTCGTTGGAGGTGGTGTTTGGTGTCATTGTTGTTAGTTGAAAATACGACACATCTGCCACATGATGCTTTGTAAGTGTGCTTCATATTTTGATGATAATGTGAAGGGTATTGGGGACTAAAGTCTAGGGTAACAATATCTTTTCTTTTTTTTTTTGGTAATCAACATATTCATTAAAACCCCAAAACAGCATTACAAAACAGAACGAAGGTCCCAACAGATGGGATTCAGGAATTAAAACGCGATTCAAGACCAGACTTGGCAGCCATATTTTGGTTTCTTGAACACCAGCGGAACTTAAAATTTCTCTTCTCAGCAATGACTTTGATGTCTTGGCAGCAGAAGAAAATATCATGAGGAGGATCAATACACCTGTTGGAACACAATGTCGATTATTGAAATATCGATCAAGACAAAGATCTCACTATACACCTTACGGTTTACAGTGATTAATTTAAAATTTTATTGCAATATTGGAAAGATGCAAAAGTAAAAAGAAAAAGAAAACGCATCAGTTGCTTCTTTTTTGTCAAACTAACGAGAGGTTTCAAAGTGAAAAATCCGCAAATCCTCCCACATCTATTCCGCTAAAAGAATCGCCGAATTCACCCATGCCATCAAACCCTGATGAAAAATCTCCACCACATTCTCCGCCATTATAATCATCACTGGTGCCGCCATAATTATCTGCAGAACCGCCACCGGTGATGCCTTGCACTTGCTGACTCTGCCCTAGCTGCTGAGATGCACTAGTAAATAAACCTTGAAGTGCCTGATTAAAAAAATTATTGTTTCCCTGCCAAACCCTCCCAGGCCCATTAATGGTCCTATATGGGATTATTCCCATATTGTATTTCTGCTGAACAGCGGCCACGGATGGAGTAGTCCCAAGGGCCGGATACTGCAAAGGCATTATTCTAGGTAGCACTGTAGTAGGATGATTTAAATTGTGAGTATGCACAGCAGCTTTGGGTGGTGTTGCTGCTGCACAAGCTAAATGGGCGTCGAAGCCGCATACGTTGAACCTATAGAGCCAATGGTTGGACCCCACGTTGTTGCATATATCACAATTAAAACTTCTGTTGTTGTAGGGAGGGGTGAAGGTGAGGTTGAGCGGGTGATAGTGGGATTGGTGAGTAAGGGACAAGGGCATGGAAGCACAGGCAGTATGGATATCGATACTGCAGAATTGGCAGTGGTAGGAGAAGCCATAACCCTGTTGCAGTTGAAGAAACCTTCTGGGCATGCGGGATGAGGAAGGAGAACAAGTACATGATTTCGATCAACGGGATGAATGATGTGGTGAGGCATCTGGGAACATGAGATATGAAGAAGTTGCAGGACTTGCATGTGTACATGGATCCAGCAGAGGCCAGCTTGAGCTTGCACCCAGAGCATGAAACAGCGTGTAAGTTCTGTTGTTGTTGGTGATTGCAGCAGATCTCCAAGGGATGTGGGTGGCTGAAATGTTGAACCACTGGATCATAATTCAGCTTCCCCATCTCTCTCTCTCTCTCTCTTGTACAATAGTCCCTCGTTCCATGATATTTTATTATTGTTTTGGAAATTGGAAGGCACAGAAAGAATAGTTGACTTAAGGATGCCAAATTAATCAACAATTGATTGATTGATGTGCTTGTATTTATACTCACTCATGAAGTTTCCAAGAGCCAAGACTCAAGAGGAGGGTTGGTTTGGTTGCCGTGGCGTGGTGTGGTGTGGTGTGGTATACATCGTATTAGGTATGTGCTGGTTGGATGAGTTTCAAATTAAATAAAGCACATCAACCTTCATTCGTTCTGAATTCTGATTTCTGAAGTTGGTGGGCCTCTCAACTCTCATCTCTCAAGTCTCATCCTCATCCACTTGCATGAATGCACAGGACAGAAGTTGGGATGGCCCAGCAACACGGATCAATTAATGACATATCATCATATCTCATTCATCCGGTTACTGTGATCTTCCCATGAGCTTTGACCAAATTAAGAAACTGGAGGAAAAA